TTCTATCTTAGGAACTCAAACTATTTTCAATTAAGTTCTCCAAATCAAAATTTAATTGATTATTAGATTAAATCAAATAAATAAGAGAATTGTGCAATTCAATATATGGGTCTTCATACTTTTATAACCGGTGTATATCTATGATTTTCATGTGTCACATACAGTAAAATAGAAATGGACAAGAATATTTTATTTAGGTTTTTTCAGTACCTTCTTAGAGATTAAGATTTTTTTATTATATATATATATATATATATATATATATAGTTGAAGGGGAGCCTGAAAAATAATTAGAAAAGGAGAAGATTAAAGATGGGAGATATGTAGTGTCCAATGATCATATGGGGCAGTTTTAGAATTCTAAAATTTTACATACAAAATGAGAATATAAAAAAATGAGGGAGGCAATTTTTAGAATTTTAATAATTATACATGTTAAAAGGTCAAATATTAAAAATTGAGGGGGCGGCCCTTGTCCCTCCAAGGCTTAGCTAGATATGTCCTTATTTAAAGCAACTCCAATGGGCTGTCAAATATGCTGCTAAAATATAACTTTGACAAATCTTTTACCAAATATAACATAAAATATAACAACCTACTATTGCTCTCTATACCTAGAAGACCAAGAAGAAAAGGGGCAACAGAAAGAGACAAAATGCCTTTTGACCAAATCAGTAATAAAATTGCAAAGGCTTTAACATAGGGTCATACTATAATAATTGGTGAGGTAAATCAAGCGAAAAATTATGCATGAAAAAAGTAGTACCGAAAAATTCTTGCTTCTTGCCAAGGATTGACCGTGGAATATCTTTTATTTCCCCATAAATGAATGGAACGGATTGGAAGAAGAAGAAAACCTCTTTGTGGTATTTATTGAGAGAGGAAAACATAGGATAGAGTTCCTTAGAACATATTTTTATTTTTATTTTTTATTATGGTTCATCATGTTGTAAAATTTAATTTATGATCATGTACTGTATGTGTTTTAGGTGGGTTCAATTATATAATTATTTATGACATTCAATTAAAATGAAATTGAAAATGGTAATTGAAAAAATAAATGGTGGTTGTGTCAAAAAATAGCATTTTGGATGAAATGTACCATTAGAGCATAATTGCTAAAATATAACATTTTGACACTGTAACATCCCTCAAAATATAGTTTTGGCATGCAAAAATAGATTTTGACACTGTAACATCCCTCAAAATATAGTTTTGGCATGCAAAAATAGAATTTTGCATTGGAGATGGTCTTATAGACCTACATTATGGCACTGTTTGTCAATTATAAACAAGACACAAAATTAAAGTTTTTTTTTTCTCTCTCTTTTTCTCTCTTAGAGCATGTGTATCGGCCCCACAACACACGTATCATTCAAGTAAGGAGTACGGTTCGAAAGTGAAATCTCAAAAACTTACATCTCGAATCCCATCCGAAAAACTAAACCAAAGATATATATATATATATATATGTGTGTGTGTGTGTGTGTGTGTGTGTGTGTGTGTGTGTGTATATAACACACATTACAAACCAATACCCATACTTCTCATCTCCCCTTTGAAGCAATTTTTTAACTAAAAGGTACGCTATTTTTCCAAACTTTCCTTTTGGCAAGAAGATATTTGGTGTTTTGAATATGTTATGCTATTAGTATTCTGGATTAATAGAAATGCATCGTTCTATTAAATTGATTTCACCTATTTAAAAAAAATTGTTCTCAACTAATTGTTATACTCCCTCCGTCCTAATTTAAGTGTTGTTTATGGGAAATAGTAATTTTTAAGGAGACATGTGGGAGATGCATTGTCTCCCTGAAAAGTTACTAATTTGCCCTTTTAAGTTTTGAATATTCAAGTTTGAAATTTTAAACTAAAATGACATATAATATATTGTTTGAAAAAATAAAGTGGATACTTATTTTGGGATGGACAAAAAAAGAAAATATGACACTTATTTTGGGACAGAGGGAGTATTAATTTTGATTCGCGGGACATACCAAGTCATTGGTATACTCGGTACACTTAATGTCTACTTCTTGTGACAATTAAGTTTAATGTGTCCTAACTCAGAATCAGTGTAGCTACTAAGAAATAACACTACTATTAAACTAACAACTCGTTGATGGTGTTGGAAATTGGAATAGCTTCTTGTTATGTGAAGGATTTACCAAGGAGAATAATATATGTGGCTATTAAAGATGTGAATTAGGTTCACATTACTTTCTTCTTCTTCTTTTTTATCTTAACAAAGGTTCACATCACTTTCTAAGCCATCAAGTTTGACAAAGTTGGGCTAATGCTTGTGTGAAGAGCTTGTAACACATCATCATCTTCTGCCAGGGGCGGAGCCCTTTGTAGGCTAACCTGGGTTGTAGGCCAGGTCCAAAAAAAAAAAAAAAAATTTAATTTACTCTTACTATTTCTTATCAGCTATAGCCCAGCCCAATTTGCCAAATCCATGATAAATGGCCCAACCCACTAACCCAGCAAACCAAAACTGATACACGAAGAAGACCTAATTATTCAAGGCATACACGAATAGACGATACACATACTGATATGCTGAACAAGAACCTAAATCCCATGAATTACTCACTTGAGTGAGCCCTTATAACAAGACGTTAAGACCTGAACAAAAACCTTCGGAACTGGACCAGAAGATGATGATGAAGACTTGAAGAGTTAAATTAGAATGAAAAAATCTGAAAATTATCTTGTTTGTGCTCATATTTAGATTGTAGACACACACACACACACATATATGAATTTGTATATGAAATTGTGCATATTAAATCTATCTTTCAAATATAAATATATATATAGATTTGCATACTTTAATCTAGGGTTTCAGTTACTTTAAATTTGGGATTTTTTATTTATTTTTATTTTTGGGGAGAATTGAAACTTAGGCTTTTATACTTGAGAGAGTTTGGGTCTCAAGTGTTATGCTGAATCGCTAATTGCTATATGTAGTTATATCTTTGGAAATTAATTTGTGTAGTTTGAATGCTTTGTTGGTCATTAAGGATGAACAGAAGACTAAATAAAAAAATAAAATAAAAAGAAATAAATGGGTTTGAGTCTTTATCACGTATGTATAATATATCCATTGAAATTCATTTTTGTAATGGCCATGATTCAGGTGGCTCCAACGGGGGATGATGGAAGCTAGAAACTACTCTACCTCTTCATCTTCATCTTAACACACGCCACGCGGTGGAAACTCCATTTACAAATTACTGGTGATTTTTAACTTTCATCATTCTAGTTCTGGTATGCTTTATAGGAGTGATGCATGGTTGGTTTTCATTTTCTTTCTAATAACATAAATTAATTTCAAGCAAAATAAAACCCTTTTTTTTTCAGGAACATATTTGGTTTTAATTTGGTACGTACAGCTTTAATCCTTTTCTTTTTTCTTCAATAATATATTTTTTTACTTTTTTAATCTTAGTGGAGATTTTTAAAAATAAAAATAACTTCAACATTCTGTTTATAATAATATTTGGTAATTGGTATAACAAAACCTAGCTAACACAATCAAAATTTTCTGCATTTTCTATTGTTGATGTGTCTGAAGTTTTGTTCTCATCTTTTGTTTAACATTTATATCTCTCACCATCTATATAAATAAGTCTAGGAATGTATGACATTGTTTTGAAGCTCCTTAATTTATATGAATATACTGTATACATACTTTTTTCTGTAAATAAAGTTTGTATGTGTGTGAGTAAAAGTGAGTTGAAATAAAATTTTAATAAAAGTTTCTCATTTCTTTGACAATACACAGACCTCAATAATTTTTTTTTTTCTTTTTCCTGCTGTCAGCTCTAAAGGTGATAGGAAATTAGGCATGCCCTTTATTTTTGTTTGTTGAAGCACTACAAGGTAGGAATTTTTCACCCTCAAGATGAAAATTTTGTTTTCGTTTTATAAACGGAAAGATGATAAATCAGAAATTGGTGCAACTTCTACGAGTACAAGTACCCGTCCTAAGACTACAAACTCTAATAAGCAGCAACAAGAACCTCCTTAAAAAATTCCTAGAGTTGAGTAAACAGAGGTTGATGATATATGTTTTATACGAGATCCTGGCTTGCGTCTTCAAATATAGAAACACCCCGTTAATGAACGTGATGAGCTTCAACGAAATTATATCTTAAGGGGACCTTATCAACCAAATCTCCTTGTGTTTCCTTCCACTCAAGATAGAACTCAATCTCGTTGATTTCAATGTACTTGGATTGTGCATTCTCCTAAGGAAAATAAAGCATATTGTTTGCTATGTTTTCTCTTTGAAACTAATCCACCATCTTGTCTTGTTTTTACTGTCGAGGGGTTTAATAGTTAGAAAAGAGTTAATGATGGATCTAGGTGTGCTCTTTTGTAACATGTGGGAGGTCTTACTTCATTTCACATGTGTGCCGTAAGAGCTTTAGATGCTTTAATGAATCATTTGCAACGTATTCTTGCAACATATTGATAGAGTGTTGAATGTATCGTCTAAAAATGTGGTGGAAAAGAATCGATTACGCCTTAAGACAACAATTGAAAGTGTTCGATGGCTTGCATTCTAAACATGTGCATTTAAAAGTCACGATCAATCCGTTGAATCTTTGAATCGTGGCAACTTTATTGAATTCATAAAGTATTCAACAAAGTTAAATGATAAAGTTGTTGAAGTTAACTTAGAGAATGCACCAAAAAATGCAAAGTACCTCTCGCCAATGGTTCAAAAAGAGGTTTTACATATTCTTGGCAATAGGGTGAGATGTAAGATTCGTGAAGAATTTGGGAATGCAAAATTTTGTATTTTGGTTGAGGAAGAACAAGATTTGTCTAATACAAAGCAAATGGTCATTGTATTGAGATTTGTTAATAAGAATGGTTTGCTTAGAGAACAATTTTTGGGAGTTGTATGCATTAAAGACACCACTGCCTTAACTCTTAAAAAAGAAATATGAGATGTCATTACTCTTTATGATCTCCAAAATGATAACATGCGAGTCCAAGGGTATGATAGAGCGAGCAATATGCGTGGGGCATGGAATGGATTACAAGCGTTGTTTCTTAAAAAATGTTCATATGCATATTATGTACACTGTTTTGTTCACCAACTACAACTAGCATCAGTTGTTGCATCCAAAGATGTGCAAGATATATGGCTATTCTTTTCAAAGTTGAATTCTATTGTCAATCTTGTCAGTGCTTCTCCTAAGCGTCATAGCGAGTTACAATCAACTCAAGTGATTTTATCCGCTAATAAGTTGGCTACTGGTGAACTTAAGAGTGGTAAAGGAGCTAATCAAATTAAGACTTTGCAACGTACAAGTGCCACTCAATGGAGCTCTCATTTTGGTTATGTTAGTAGCTTGATAGACTTATTTGGTCCATCTCATGTAATTATTGAAAATCTTTCAAAGAATGAACCAACTAATTCTAGATATACGTGGGGAAGCAAAAGGTGTTTATCTTTCAATGCTATCATTTGAATTTGTATTTATCTTGTATTTGTTTCAGAGATGATGAGAATTACTGATATACTTTGTCAAGCATTGCAACGAAAAACTCAAGACATTGCAAATGCTATGAACCTTGTTTCAAGTATGAATGCACTCCTATAAAATTTGAGAAAAAATGGGTGGCATACTTTCTTTCAAAATGTGGAATCATTTTGTAAAGAGCATGACATTGTAGTACCTGATATGAGTGTAATACCCCAATATTTTGAAAGATTTATTAATTGAGATTAATTAATTTTATATTTTTAAAATGATTTATTTGATTTAATTGGGTTTAATTAATTTTATTTTATATTATTTTATATGATTTGTTTTTATCTAGTTGAGTGCTTAAACTAATTGTCTTGTTTTAATTATATTATTACTTCCGTAAGTATTAATGGATTAATAGATAGTGGATTTTGGTTAAGGAGTCCTTGAGTTACAAGATTCCCAAGTTGTAAATTTTGGAGAATTATTAATGAAACTTTTATTTAATAGATTCCCTTTAGCGAGTTATTTATTCTTTCTATTTCTTTTTGTACTCTGTGCTTGTTTGAAATACTTTAATTGTTTGGATATCCCCTAATTTTACCCCGATATTTTGAAAGATTTATTAATTGGGATTAATTAATTTTATTTTTTTAAATGATTTATTTGATTTAATTGGGTTTAATTAATTTTATTTTATATTATTTTATATGATTTGTTTTTATCTAGTTGAGTGCTTAAACTAATTGTCTTGTTTTAATTATATTATTACTTCCGTAAGTATTAATGGATTAATAGATAGTAGATTTTGGTTAAGGGGTCTTTGAGTTGCAGGATTCCCGAGTTGTAAATTTTGGAGAATTATTAATGAAACTTTTATTTAATAGATTCCCTTCAGCGAGTTATTTATTCTCTTTATTTATTTTTGTACTATGTGCTTGTTTGAAATACTTTAATTGTTTTGATATCCCCTAATTTTACCCCGATATTTTGAAAGATTTATTAATTTGGATTAATTAATTTTATTTTTTAAAATGATTTATTTGATTTAATTGGGTTTAATTAATTTTATTTTATATTATTTTATATGATTTGTTTTTATCTAGTTGAGTGCTTAAACTAATTACCTTGTTTTAATTATATTATTACTTCCGTAAGTATTAATGGATTAATAGATAGTTGATTTTGGTTAAGGGAACATTGAGTTACAGGATTCCCGAGTTGTAAATTTTGGAGAATTATTAATGAAACTTTCAGCGAGTTATTTATTCTTTTTATTTCTTTTTGTACTCCGTGCTTGTTTGAAATACTTTAATTGTTTTGATATCCTCTGATTTTGTGTACGGACTCGCTGAAGGGAATCTATTAAATAAAAGTTTCATTAATAATTCTCCAAAATTTACAACTCGGGAATCCTGTAACTCAAGGACCCCTTAACCAAAATCCAATATCTATTAATCCATTAATACTTACGGAAGTAATAATATAATTAAAACAAGACAATTAGTTTAAGCACTCAACTAGATAAAAACAAATCATATAAAATAATATAAAATAAAATTAATTAAACCCAATTAAATCAAATAAATCATTTTTAAAAAATAAAATTAATTAATCCCAATTAATAAATCTTTCAAAATATCGGGTTATTACAATGAGTGCTTCTTATATAGTGGGTACAAGTCGTTCTTGTTAAAAAAAATGATAATATTACGTTTAATCATCACTATTAAGTTGATATTTTCAAAATTTTCAATTAATGGAGTTAAATCAGAGATTCTCTGAAAGTATAGTGGAACTACTGATTCTTGGCACAGGTTTGGATCCTAAAGATGCTTATAAATCATTTAAAGTTAATGCCATTTGCAATCTTGTAGGGAAATTTTATTCTAAGGATTTTCAAGATGAGATGCGTGCTTTGAGAATCCAATTGGAGAATTATAAGATTAATATACTCCATCATCCGAGTTTTCAAACTTTGTCTACCATTTCTGATTTATACAAAATGCTAGCTAAAACAAGAAAGATTGAAACTTATTATTTGATTGATAAATTGATTCGTCTCATATTGACTCTTCCTGTTTCTACAGCAACGATAGAACGAGCTTTTTCGGCAATGAAGCGTGTCAAAACTAAACTTCGCAACAAGATGGCTGATGAATTTCTTGCAGATTGCATGATTTTCAACATTGAAAGAGAACTTGTTGAAGATATTGATATAGATTCGGTAGTTAATGAATTTGACTCTCTTAAAGATCGGAGGGTTCTTTTCAATTATTTCGGTTCATCTTCAGTAGGTAAGAGAATGCTACATATGTTTTTGTATCCATCTATGATGTACTTGATTTGATATAGGAGAACATCATCATGTTTTTTTTTTTTTTAGCTTCGCTCCTGTCTTTTGTTCTAGTAAATCAGTTATACAACATGCTACATCATAATGCATCACGTTATGTATAATAATAATATCACACTTATGCAATATATTTACATCGAAGATGCAGTACACATGTAACATATTGTATTGTGTTACAACAATACAACACTATATTAAATCAAAAAATTATCACAATTTACACGGCTATTGTATTCTCAATTTAAAGTTATTGCACTAATGATTTAAAATTGTTGTGTTGTCGATGACAAACAGATATGTGACAAAAACACATAAAAGTGGATTCTGATTCTAAGTAAAAAAAAAAAAAAAACATATATGGAAGTCATTGGGTCTCTGGTGGGTGCTCTCTGATTAATTCTTGTTGAAAGGCAAGTGAGTCTTCTACACTAGATCATCAACTGTGGTTTTCAAAACTTGTTCTAGTTATTTCTTAATTTTGTAAAACGTTTACCGTTTAATTTCCAAGTCTTTCTAGAGTGACCTAGGATTCTAAAACTCTTGATAAACAAAATCCTAATTGAGAAAGAAGATTTCTGATTGCCCAATCATATGTCTGATTGTTGTGGAAAATTCTCATTTTAATAATTTTAAGCATAGACAAGAAAAGAAGAAAGGCAGGAAAGTGTGTTTCTCGCGGCCTTGAGTCCGGAGTCACAAATTTTACTTTAAAAAAAAAAAAATCAATTGTAATGTAATTTTATTTATAATCTATAGTCATAGTATACCTTAAAAAATCCAAAATTTGGGGGGGAAAATTGTAACCTAAATCAATTTTTTTTTTTTTAGAAATTGTTTTAATTTTTGAAAAAACATTTTGAGTATTGAAATATATATATCATTATTAAATTTATGAAAGATTCAGAAACAAAATAGTTTTAACTAAACAAAATTTTGCATGTTTTAAGAAAACAAAGAAATTACTTTAGCAACTTATACGATAAGTATGTTGAGTTTGTGGCTCAAAATTTATGTGCAGAAAACTTAGTTTCTTTTTTCGTTTTCGAAGGCTAAAATTTGTAGAGAAAATTGTATCACATTATGTTTCTATTTTAGAGTTGTGATCATTATAGTAACTCCTTGTAGGCAAGTTGGGGAATACTTGTCCAATAAGAAATTGGGTTTCAAGATTATATTAATAGAGATAGGTGTAAGGGGTTTAGAGAGAGAAAAGATGTAAGGGTTTTAAGGGTGAGTGTTGTGAGGAGAATGGAGAGTATATTTAATTCCCGAATGTATACATGTAGTCTCAAAAGAAATGATGAGTGAGTGAGTGCGGTTTTGACATGTGGTTGTATATTCTCTTCCTTAATTTCATAATAGTGAAATCTCTCTCTCTCTCCCATGAAATCTCTATCTACAAAATATAAAAACACAAATACCCCCAAGAATAAAAATGTTAATCAAACATAATCGTACAAATACCTCAATGCGTTAAAAGTCAAAAACACATAAAAGTGAATACAAGTGCAAGACATTAATGATGATATGAGGGCAAAACATGCAAGTATGGAATGAATGAAGTGCCGAGGGTCATCCCCGAGCACTTAACTCGGTCTTGGGCCCGCATGACTTTAAGAAAAAAAGAAAGAAAATAAAAATAAAATAAACGCAGAAGAAGGAAAAAGATGACACGGTCATCACATCGCACATGCTGTTTTATTAGTATATGTATAGGTTTAGTGTAACAAATGAGATCTTGTCCCACATCGGATCCGGATGAGAGAGTGATTGGGTATATATGGGTTGGGTGCTAGCCCCACTTAATAGTTTAGACTTTTGTGTCGGATCGTGAAGCACCCACTCGTTACAGTTGGTATCAGAGTCAAATTCAATCTTTGATCCAGTATCATGCTAAGTGCCCTACCCGGAGGCGTCTGAGTGTGCAAGGTGGCCCGACCGCAAAGATAGCGTTGCAAGTTCGGGTGAGGGAGAATGTAACAAGGGAGCTTGTCCCACATCTAGTTTAAGCTTTTGGGTTGGATTGCAAAGCACTCACCTGTTACAGTTAAAAAGTACGAGAACGATACCACATGGGCACGACGATGCGTTAAATATTTAAAAAATAAGACACGAACGCTAAAAGAATATGACGATAAAATAATAATTAATTTTATTATATATGAAAAATATTAAATTTTTTATTAATTTCTCCTTTATCCATAATCCATTTAAATTAAGCTTACAAATAAAGATAACATAAGTAATAACAAATAAAGATATACTTTTATATAAAAAGGTATAATTTTAGCCTTGTTACCAAACAATGGATAAAAGAGGATAAGATTATGGTAAATTACACTAACACCCCTTGAGGTTAGGTTATATCTCACTTAGATGAATATTTTAGTTTTAACTTTCACTCACACCCCAAATTGTATTTTGGGTTCTGACATATGTAAATTGACCCATTTATCCTAATTTTTAAATACAATTTAGTATAAAATTTCTACAAACTAAAATGACAGATATACCCCCATATAATACTAGTATTCCAAATCACTCTTTTTTTTCCTCTCTCCTCTCTCTCTATCTATCTATCTATCTGCATGCATAAAAAAAATAAAAAAAATAAAAATAAAAATGACTCTTTTTATTTATTTAGGAAAAATGACTCTTTTTTAATTAATTAATTAATTTATGACTTTTTTTAACATTAATTAATTAATACAATACACATCAAAAACATATATAACAAACCTTAAATAAATACAGACAATAATTATTCTATAGACATCACACATATCACTTTTTTATATTATATTATTAATCACAGACAATGACCCACATTATCGTGGTTACTACATTCTCCATATATGGAGTACAAGTGTATTAATATATGTTGGGGGAGTGTGGAATGTGCACACGAAACACAATACTCTCTCCACAACAGCAGATATTATCCAAAGCTGGTTTCCGCTGGGATGATACAAAACTATAAAATACCACAAATGCTAGAAATACTTCCCTACCTAGTACTCTAGTAGGAACATGAACTATTGAATCATGCCTTTTTGGACGATTCAAAATGGTAAGGGAATGACTCAACTTGAACTTGCTTGTGCAAGTCCACGTACAGGAAACTCGTCAATCTCAGCTCTCCATGGATTCATCTCCTCAGGATCAACGGTCCTCATTGCACGCCACACCACACTACAACACTTGAACCCGGACCCAAAAGCAATCTGCCACACACGATCACCCCTCTTAATCCTCCCTTTTGCCTCGGCATAAGCGAGCTCATACCACACTGAACTACTTGAAGTATTCCCAAACCTATAGAGAGTCATTCTAGAAGCTTCCATATCTTTATCACTCAACCCCAAGTTTCTCTGCACTTCATCCAGTACTGGTTTGGCGCCAACATGTGCGAAAAAGTGATCAAACGCCTTCTTGAAATCCGGAACGTACGGCTTGATCTCTGCCACGTGGAGCTGTCTTACTAGGTAGTTTGTGAAGTAGAGGATTTGTTCAGATACGGGAAGGACCAGGCGTCCCAGTGTGGTCATGTTGGATTCAACGGCTTTGATAGCCGAGGCCACGAGATCTCTGGTGACAGTGATGCCCAAGTGTCCTTCCTGATCTTCTTCATGTAGAATGCAGTTGTATGAACGGTCGCACTGGGAAGTGTTGATTTGGACGGTGTGGATGAGCTGGTACTTTGATGAGGGTCGATCGGACGGTCGGTTTGAGAGGAGGGTCGCGGCCCTACCAACCCGGAAGACACAGTTGATTAGGAGCATAGAGGGGTCGCTACCAAAGTAACAGTTTTGGGTGATGTTCTCTGTACTTACCACCAGAGCATAGGTGTTACGGTGTACCTGTTGATCACACAATCAAAACTCAGGCTATATATATATATATATATATATATATATATATAAGTCTATAAATATAAAATGAGCTATTGTAAATTAATGTTTTGTAACTTGGATCACGCTACTCCAAAGCTATATATATCATATTATCAGTAAGTTTGAACTTCGATACTTATTGGGCTTAGTTGATTCATATTCTGATTGTTTCTTTTTCTATTGATTCTTTTTCTATCAAGTTGTATGACTCAGTAGATCTATCTATATAGATCTTGTTTATAGATTAACTAAAATGTGCAAAAGGTCAATTTGTTTTTATACCGGAATAAGTGCAACTTTAATATTTAGATCATCAGTATATGTGCATATAAATATGTATGCACGTATATGTATCATCCACTAGGCACATAGAATTGTGGGAACAAATACAAATTACTTACCAACATGTAGCTGTTGACTAACTTGCTCGGACCTATATATATATATATATTTATGCAAGTATATATTTATGTATATATTAGATGTATGTACTAATGTACTTACTTATTTGTGTATCATGGCCTCCCACACAGATATATTTTGGTATTTATCTTCTTCTTTTTTCGGTATTTTTCTTGGGATGAGGACTGTTGAAAACTTCAAAAACAAGACCAAAGATGGAGATACCAACCTGAAGGAGCTGTTTGGCAAGAGTGATTGCTATAAGTCCAGCAGTGCACCCCATTCCCGAAAGATTAAAGCTCAAAAGATTGTCCCTAAGCTTGTATCGGTTCACTACCATGCTAGAAAGAGATGGCACCACATTAAAAATACAGCAATTCACCACTAATATCCCTATATCCACGCATTTCACTCCTGTCTTCGCTAATAGCTCATCTATGGCCCCAAACATCATCATCTCTGCCTCTTTTCTAGCCTCTTCCAAGCAAACGTTCGGAGGATCACTCATAAAGGCCTCCGGCAAGTATGTCGAGTCACCAAGTCCCGACCTCTCCATTGTTTTCTTCATGAACGCCACAGTCTCCTCCGATAAATTTAAATAGCGCGTGGCTCGCTCTAAGGTCACTTCTCTAGGGCATGAAAGGGCCAACGGGGGTTTGTGACACGCAAAATCAACCAAGTAAACGTTGAGAGATGGCT